CCTACAAAGCTGGACTCCTACACCTGGTAGCCAAAGACGGGGCCACAGAAATGGACAAGGCACAGAGCGCGTAGCGCAACACAAAGCAAAGAGCCAGAGCAGCCTTTATACCTCCAGACTCAAGTTCAAGAAGCATCCTACTCCGGCTAGTCTCCATCCAACGCGGTGCAGGCTATAAGTGATTGTAATCTCTCAAGCTCTTAGGCAGCCGGCCTTCCCGTCTAGGGTGCAAGACGAAAGAAGCGTCTGTAAGATGGCGGCAAATCTCCTGAGTCTCCAGCAGCCGAGCGCAGAGCAACATAGTGGCCCATCTAGCACTGCACGTGGCCGGCCCTCTCGATGTCGTGTGGTGGATCTGGGGCGACTGCGTCTGTACGCTGTGTCCTCTAGGGGCCGGCGCCCTGGCAGTAGACTCCGGCTGCAAAGGCCCTGGCCTGCGCCAGCTTGCCCTGGACTGCTGACAGTTCTGGCAAGGATTGGACTAGCCTGGGCCACGCCCTTGCCTTGACCCCGCTTCATCCCACAAGCAGCCAAAACTGAGTCTGTCCGCGGCTGAGTCCCTCAGCCCTGGGCCCGACTGTTCAGCAAAGTGGGCGCTGCTGAGAGCCTAGCTGCGCCAGACACCACGGTGACACCCTCAAAACCGTCTATCTCTGTGGCTGAGACTGGACAACGGGAAGGAACGTCATTCCTCTGGATCGTCCCGAAGTCCAAGGGTGGCAAATCACTCCTAGCGATGCGTCCCCAGTCCTGACTAACAGCTCGGGCTTCAACGCCAAGGGTTAGCCAACGTTCCCAAGCATGAGGACCCAAGGACACCAAAGTGCTAATGACCATGTCTGGCTCCGTCTCCAACACAGAACGCAACATTTGCACACACTCATGTCGCTGTGTAGACATTGCAAGGCATAAGGAGCTACAAGCAAATTTTTAGGCTTAAGACAAAATGGCACGCATGTGCAGCATTAAAGACATGCACGCATGTAGCTGAACTCCCAAACCTTTGGCCCCTAAAGATCCAAGCTCTAAGAATCCCATGCCTCAAAAAAAGCACAAGCATTAGGCCTACGTTACGTTCAAGCATATTTAAACTGACCCGTTGGAGTAACCACACAAAAATAAGCACAAATAACCCTCAAAAACCCCGTAAGCCCTCGGAAGCAGACCAACATGGGGCAACAATTGGAGGCGATGCGATGTCTTTGAGAAAAAGGGCGTTCAAGGTTTCAGGCTTGAGTCGAAGGTCTTCTCGGGCTAAAGGTCGTTCAGGGGCCATGGGTTGAGCATCTTTTTGGGCCAGCAGTGGTTCAGGCTTTTGGGTGTTTAGTTTGAAGGTTTTTTCGGGCTAAGGGTGCTTCAGGGTGGTTCAAGGATCAGGGTTTTGGGTTTGCTTTGACGGTTTTTTCGGGCTAAGGGTGGCTCCATGACTAATGTTTTGGATTCAAAGTTTTTTAAACCACCCCTTCACTCCACATCTTGAGCTGCCACCCCAGTCGGGTTTGGGATTAAGGGTTTAGCGTTCGGGTTTTGGGTTTGTTTCGGTCGCTTCGGGTTCAGGTCTAGGTCTAGCCACCCCGCTTTGGGTTCAGGGCGCTAGGTCTGAGGGTCGTGTGCAAGAGCCTGTTCTCCCTGCACATTGGCGGTCCTCAGACGTCGAATTGGACTCATCTAGCTTTTCGTGTTTTGGATCTAGGCTCTCAGCGCCTCTCCCACTTGGGGTTTGGGAGTTAGGTTTTAGGTTTCGGGCTTGCATTATACGATTATGGATCGACAAGGACATTAAGCCCCACGGTGGTGCTGGTGCTGGTGCCGGTGCCGGTGCCGGTGCCGGTGCCGGTGCCGGTGCCGGTGCGGGTGCCGGTGCAGGTGCCGGTGCCGGTGCCGGTGCCGGTGCTGGTGCCGGTGCTGGTGCTGGTGCTGGTGCCGGTGCTGCTGCTGCTGCTGCTGCTGCTGCTGCTGCTGGTGCTGGTGGTGGCGGCGGCGGTGGTGGTGGTGGCGGTGGTGGTGGTGGGGGTGGTGGTGGCGGTGGTGGCGGTGGTGGCGGTGGTGGCGGTGGTGGCGGCGGTGGTGGTCGGGGGGCAGCAACGGCGGCAGTAGCAAATCGTTTTGGTTGCAGCAGCAGCAGCAGCAGCAAGGACAGCAGATATAGAAAGCATCGCCAAGGAAACAGGAGTCGGTGGGCTTGGCAACAGTGATCAGTGCCCCCTTCAGCACCACGTGATCTTCTATGTCCTCATACTAGCAAGCTTGGGTGCTGGTGCTGCGGTGGGGTTTCTGAGTAAGCGAGCTCTGAATTCCAGACATGCATTGTCTGCCTTGTGACTCGGACTGCATTGCCAGTTGATGTCCTTGTTTGATTCCGTCAATACACTCGAAACAGCTACCCTGCACCAACCATGTATCAAGGAGATATGCAGTCGTGAACTGGCTACAATCTTTGTTGGCGACTCTGAGCTGTTTTCACAAAGACGCTGCGAGATTGTACTGCCAGCACGGAATCTTACCTGTGGCAACCATGGCAGAGCGTGCGTTCTCCGTGGTTAACATGGCCTTTGGACTGCATCTAAGTAATTCTGCTTCGCGAGACAAAAGCACACTAGGAACAGCATTCTTTGACAACCCGCAACACTTTGTGCAGATAAACCCCTGAATAGCCCCGTACAGCCTCTAAAGTCTATACACCCTCTCAAGCTGCAGAATGCCACCCCCCAAAATCATGAAGATTTCGGCTTACAGCAAGAATGTCCGCGCCCATCTGGAATTTGCAGCCCAAGTCAGGTGTGGCTGTGGCGTCTCTACCTTTACCTTTTTGCTTTTCTCATACTGCACCGACTCATCGCCGAGCGCATCGATGATCCTTGTCTTGAAAAGTTGAGGGGTAGGGAATAAGATCTGTAGAGTGGAAGCTCTCATGTGTGTGAGTCAAGCGTTGGCACGTGTGGCTTCTGACTCCCATTTTCAGAGGATTGGCAGCAAAAATGCGTGCCCGGGGGCAAGCCTGAACAACTATGAACAAAGCCAATCGGAGGGTGCCCAGAACAACTGAGGCTTTGGAGGATACCTCCGGTGGCAGGTACTGCGGTGCCTAGAGTGCTCTATTCATGCCTGCGTTGGTGTGAGCTGAACATGTGCTCCGTACATGCAAAATACGCAGGGCTTTAGAAGAGAAGACACAACCAAGGTAAATGGTTTCACCGGCTGCTCCGTGCCCAGGACTCAACTACTTGTTTCTGTGCTTGTGTTGTTGAGACTTTGCATGTCTCCTGCCTTGAGTGGGAATCAAACAAAACATATGCTGCTGCAAACCTGTGAGTGGGGCTGAAAGGAGTTCGGCGTTCTGTGCTGCACGCCGCTGATGGTGTTTGGGCCATTCCCAGATGCTTTTTTTGTGCATCTTTGAGCTTGTACTTCCTATAGCATTTCCACCGCAATCCTTCTGCCTATAAGCCCAAAGACTTGGACGACCCCAGAACCAGGCTTCGTTGAGTCTCTTTGCTTTGGCCGGCCCTGAAGCCGGCGAGGGGGCAATGCCTTGTCTTTGGATGCTCGTGAACCTGGGCAAGTATTAAGGCTCAGCAGATTGAACTAGGTACGCTGCTGTCCGATCAGCAAAGATAAGTCTTGGAGGATTGCTCCCATGATCTGTCAGCAACAGAAGGCAGAGGATGTATCTCTGTACAACATGATATGGTCCGGGATCACAAGCTTGGCAGACTTTAAGTGACGTGGTATGACCTGTTACTTCAAGCCCAGAGTGAGCAGTGCCCGGCGTGCTCATAAAGCCTTTCTTCGGACTTTAGCCTTCAGGGCTTACAGTTGAGAGCTTGAGGCTTCAATGTCGGAGCATTTGCGGTTTGCCTTTTAAGGTTTGAGCGGTTCCGGTGTGCCTGTCCCCTGACACCCAAGGAGCTGCATGGTCTTTGCCTCTGGCCAGAAATTGAGCATCTGAAATCCTTTTGCTTCGGCGTCGGTAGGAGACAAATCGCACAGAATAGTCCATAGTGGTGAGCTGTGCAGACCAGTCCAGGTCTGGCTTTGCAATATGTTTGCAAACTTGGTGGCTATCGATGCCATGTTCCGATCCTGCATGGTTTTGCGCCATTTCCTTCAGCCCGAGCGGCTGATTGATGCCTCCGAGGCTGTTCGACATTCCCTGAATCAGGCCAGAACATTCTTCACTCGTGCTTGTTTTCTGCTCTTGTTATCCGTGAGGGTCACCATCATGCTCACAACTTGCGCCCCCACAACGCCGCGATGTGAGTGTTGCAGTCCTTGAGTCAGGCCTTGCGGCATTCTGCCAAGCAAGCGATTGGTGTCACTCTGCGCGTAATCCTCACCCTTTTGGCCTTCGGGATCACGCTTTATGAAGCAAGTCAGCACACCAAACGCTTCAAAATGGAGTCTATGCCGGAAGCGCTGGAGCTGGTTATTTGCAATTCTGTGCTGGTCCTAAACTCCCTTGGCAATGCAGCCATTTGTGTGGTTCTGTCCGGTTCTCACCGTGTGGCCCTTTGGAAGCAGACGACCGCCACCTCAGCTCCCAGGCGCAGTCATCGAACATGCATCCGGGACTGTCTACGCTGCGACTGTCTTGACATCTGCTGGACTGATGGCAAACGCAACACATGAACAAAATAATCCTACCTACTGAGTTTTTTTAAAGTAGTCCGAATATTGCTGAATCCATGTGTGCACTTAATCAAAAAGCCTGGTACCGAAACCATTCCCCTCACAAGTGCCCAGGACCTTGCGGGAGCACAAGCACCGACGCGCAAGGTGCGATAGTCAGCGAATGCCTAAGAATTTCTGGACACCTGCATGGCGAGAGAAGGTTGGCAGCCTAAAACAGAACACATGCGCAAGTTTCTTCTCTTGATTCCGGAAGCAGGTCCGGAACATAGATTTGCAGGCAGGCAGTGAGATTTTTTTGAGAGACCGTTGTGCTTATGTTGTCTCCTGGCCCCCCACAGGTGCGCGAACTGTGCTTTCGTGGAGTCACCATGCAAAGTCTGCTCGAGTTCTACCTGAAGGATCTCCCAGCACTGGAAGACTGGCGCTACAGCCCCAATGATCACCGGACCCGAGATGTGGTTCGACGAGCCATCATACCCATGACGGCGGAAGAAGGCTGCGCTTACGCAACCTCCAAGCACAACAGGGATGGACCTCGGAGGGCCGAGATCATGGTCACCCACAACTGGGGTAATCGTTTTCGAGATCGCCTGGGTGCCATCGTTGCAGACGCACTTCAAGAATGTAGCTCTCACTTTGCAGGGCAGCTCCTGGACCACGAGCCTGATCTTCTTCGTTCCATGTTGACCGAGAGTGGTCAAATGCAAAACGTCTACTGGATTTGTGCTTTTGCCGTGAACCAGCACGCCAGCATCTGCCACACAAACCCTTGTGACCGCGACCCTTTCACAGACGAGCTGCATCCAGTGTGCTCTTGCAGCCGCACGAGCTCGTGTTCGCAATGGTTGGAATACATTTTATTGTTCTCTCCCTCTCTCTCTCTCTCTCTCTCTCGCTCTCCTTCTCGCTCTTGCTCACTCTCTCTCTCTCTCTCTCTACAAGCTTTGGCTTCCTGCGGCGCACGAATCAACTCCATCTTTTGTTATGGAAAGGCCTTGTCTGTCAAACTCTTTCACTTTTCCGAGGAACGTACGCGATCCGGACGGCCGCTGCACTGAGTCCGAAATCAACAAGTTCGACGACATGATGGGATTCCTGGCAAACACAGGACGGTGTAGCTCGCATCTTGTTCAGTCCAAGAAACCTCAGGCCACTTGAAGTATGTACATTAGCAGGGCTCAGTTCGGGCCTCGAAGTAGATTTCCCTCAACCCTCAAGTCCTGGAAATCATTGAACAATGCAAAATCTTGGCTGAGACACTCAAATTCGAAGCCCAGCTATTTCTTGGAAAGGTAAGCAACTCATTGCCGTGGATCGTTCCATGGACCTCTTTCGTCGTGCCTGGTGCTCTGGTCTCCAAACATCTTTTGGTTGTGTAAAGGCTTAGGGCTTGGGGGGACTCGGTCAGGAGCTGGCTCTGTGGTTTTGTGCCCAGGCTCAATAGGCAGCCTTCAGTCCCCGACCCTCAGGGCCAAAGCCTTACATATGCAATCCCATAAGATGCCGCTATCTGGATGCCATGAAGCAAGAAAGGCGAGGTATGAACTACAGCTGCTACTGTAACACGTTTCCTTCCCTTGCTGTCTCTGTGACTTTCTGTATGAATGCTGCTTCTCCGTTGTGCCCGGTAATGGTCTTTGCGACCGCATGTTGGAAGTAGCCTATTACCGTTTTGCCTTAAACGCTTCCTCCGGCCCCTACTCCTACCGCCTTGAAGTCTGATCTTCAGCTGCCTGCCAGAGTGCCCTCTTCCTTGAAAGACCTCACCTCACAGTCCTGACCTTAGAGGAAAATGTTCCGTTCTGACAGCAGGAAACATCAGTTGCAATGCCCAGTTTCTTTAGCCCCACTTACTGACCTCATGATCCCCATCACCACCGGAAAGTATGGTTGCCAGCAACTCTACCACTGTCCCTTTTCCCGCAAGGTGTGTGGCGGAGATTGCTGAGGCAAAGCGATTGCAGATCAGGCACAGGGGGTAAACATTTATTTTGAGCATAGAAGTCTAATGCTTAGGCTTCACGGGTCCAAGATTTGAGAGCATAGCAGGCTTGATCTGTTGCACCTTGCCCCAACACTGAGCTGTTTGTCGGAGGCAGTCGCTGAAGCTGGTCTCCAGGAAGACGCTCACAAATCAAGCCTACCAGCGCCTTGTGCATCCAATTAATCTATTGCATCATAATCATCATTGCTATGGAAAATGAGAGGTTAGTGCTGTACTAGATGCTGATTACTTCTAATATGTCATGCTGGTTGGCATAGAGAGAGACCCTAAGGCCCTAAGGGGCTCTCTTGCATAGGGAGCCTCCGATTCAGAGAAGCCATGGGCGACCGTGAAGATAGGCCTAAGGTAGAAAGCTTACTGCATTCGGAAACTAGAACAGGAAACATCCAGATCCTGCACTCGCACGCATGGCCTTTGACATTGAAACACAAATTCACAATCCGACCATGCACACCAAAGGCTCCAGAACCTGGACATCCGGGACATGCGCGCAGGATGTGACAAGGACAAGGAGCTCATCCTAGGCACTCGGGCTGCAGGACTGGAAAAAGATCATCCCACTTCTTCTTCTTCTTCTTGAGTCTATCGGCCTTCTTCCAGATGCCGGGATACTCAAGAGTTGTAGTGCACACGTTGAGGAGCGAGAGTTGGTCTTCCAGAATTGAAGGGAGTACCAAGAACAGCACTGAGAAAATGCGCATGATGAAAGAGCATTTGAGACGTATGTCACGAGGACACAGAAGTAGTAAGCAATCGTGAAGGGAGAAAGGATGACAAGTAGCAAAATGGAAACATTGATTGTTCTGGGATACCAATGACCAAGAACTTGACTATTTGCTGGCATCCGCCATGATAGTTTTTTTGAATACTCAGTCACTCCGAAACCTACATGTTACCCCATTTCGAAGATCCACTAGAAGCCCTGAGACCCAGCCCAATGGAAACCCAAATTTGGACCACCTATCATGCCCACCCAGTAGCAAACATCCTCGTGGGATCTTTTAATGCAGCAGAGCTTTAGCAGAGCCCCATCATGGAGACCCAAAAACCCCAATGGCCTAGAATGTGTGTAGCTAGAAACCTTTCCGAAAAAAAGCAGCGAAAGCGCTGATGCAATTCCGCAAATATATAATTTGAGGGAAACCTGATATGTAGAATTCCGTCCGCCCAGATGGAAGCCTTTCAAAACGGAAGCCTTACCTAAAACTTAAAGCAAAGTAGCGTTAAAAGAAAAACAAGGTAAGCAGCGAGCTGTCCTTGTGTACTTTTAAACTGGTACCAAAGCCGACCAACACTTACACGCGAACATGGCTGGCGGAAGGTACCTGGAGACGGAAAAATACACTATACTGATTGAGTGCGTAGAATCAAAGGCCCGCATATGGTAGCACTCCCTTCAAAGTCATATCGAGTGTAGCATAGTTATGGGTGGTTAGACAACTATGATGTTCCTGGACACTGCCAGAGCAGAGGCAAGATCGAGGATATCGACAGCTTCAACAGTCAGTTGCGGTCACTGATTTTTGATCCCCACTCTGGTTTGCTGGCTTCGTGGGAGACACCCAGCTTGCATTTTGGGCTTAGTTTCCATAGGTTTGGGTTTACAAATTGGGTTCGTAGGTCCCAATGAACGGATAGGTTTGTGGGGACAAGGCTGCACAAAGCAAAAGGCCAGAAGATATACGGGCACCTTAGAGGAACACTAGGAGCATTGCAATGCTCGGTCAGTCCCACTGGCAGAAGTCCAGATGCTCGGGGATTTGTCTTTTCACCCTTACCGATGACAGGTTTGTTGGCGTAAACTTCAGAACTAGAGGAATGCTTTTTGCTTTAGAATTATCGAGCTTTTGTTTTGGAAGGTAGCTGCAAGCATTGCCCAACTTGAGCTTGGCAGGAGTTTTATTGTCTACTCTAGGCAGCGGAGTTTGCCAGAACTGCATGGTCTTTTTGCCAGAAGTTGAGCGTGAAAGCCTGCTTCAACGCTTGAGATATGGAATTTGAGGATGACGCGTTTTCTGCGTCATAGTTGCCTCATCATCCTCCGTTCATTCCTCCATCTCTCCCCTTGCTCTTCGTCCTCCTTATCCTAGTTGCCATGGCTAACTGCTATAAGAAGTTCTTGCATGACACAAAGATTGCCCTTCATACAACCTTCACTGGTGTCTAATAACCAGCAGAACTTCTGGGAGTACAACAGAGCCTGAAGCCCGAAAAATCGCGCATTCAAAATTGAGCCTTGGCGTTCCGGATTTTGAAGCTTGAACACCAGACCTTGAAGCTTTAAACCGGCACCCCAATTTCAAGAGGACTGCTCATCCCACTCTGTAGGCAAATGGACAGCTTGCAGCAAATGGGCGAAGTCGGGCGACTCATTCGCTGGAGTATGGCAGATGCTGGCACCGGGAAGGTATGGAGACTTTGGGACGCTGAGTGATTCGCGGAGAATCCGCAAGGCCTATTGCTAAATTGTCAAGCCCAGACTACACAAGCATACACGCCAAAGCCTCGGCTTTGACAGGTCGATGCTTCCTGTTTTTCCCTCACCAGCCCTGTACCTCCTGGGCGCTGCTTTCTCTGGACCCTGAGGACAGCGCCCATGCTTCATGGATTCTCTCTGCCCTTTGAGTTAACAGCCAGGCCAGGGAAGAACCAAGGCCCTGTGCTCAGTTCAAATGAAATCATGTATTCTAATCGCCCGAACTGTTGGAAGTATGGCATGACAACATGAACAAAATACAAGAACCGCACTCATCACTGTGACAGCAACATACAGGTTGTGATGAGGAGGAGAAGGATGATTCATGATCACTATGATGCCGGTATTGGTTTTGAGTATTCTGCTTGTTTGCCTGTTCTTACGGAAGTCTTGTTGTTGACATGTCTTGACTCAAAAGGGCATGTGATAGTCCAACTAATCTCGAACTTTGGACCGTCGTGAGCGGCATTTGTGTCTGTCAAAGAGTGCCTAGCAGGAGAATGGCCGAGGACAGTAGTTTTTGTACCAGCCTCATGGTAGTCGGTTCTATCAAGCCAATAGTCCACAATGAAACTCACGGACACAACATCGCTCCTTTGCGATTGCCTTCGGCAGCTCAACAGTTTTACCCACCTGAGTCCTCTCTCGGCGCCATTTAGTGTTGCCTCCCCTCGCTTTACAATTTCCTTGTGTTTTTTGTTTCCCCTGGAAGCCGGGAACAAGTCCATCATGACCGCACTGTTTGCTTCTTCTTGAGGGCTGCAGAATGGACTCAGGTTGTGTCTCGGCCATTTGGAAAACGCCATTTGCACGGAAAGTCATATCAAGCACATGGCGTCGCTTGATGATATTCTGCGTGCTTATGTGCTCCTCAGTCTGCTTACTATTGCTATCTGCGGTTCAGCTGCCTCTAGCTGGTCGCCGCCGGCATATTGATTGTATGTTAGGTAAGGCAAGAACTTTAAGGGAAATCTGCTTCAAACTAATAAAACGAGGTACTCAGAGACCCTTTGTCCTTTACGCACTCCAACTCAACCCTGCACATGTAGCACTTGCATTCCTGAGCCTTACACCCTGTGCAGCGGTTCCCTGCTTCGAGCTCAGGATCTAGGACTCTAGGATGCAGGGTGTAGGTCTACGGTGGCATCATTGCTTGGTCTGGTTTGGTGATGGGCGGCTGCGGGTGACGACAGCGGGCGTGCGGGCCGTTGTGGTTTCGGTGGTAGTGGTTGTAGTTGTTCTTGTTGCTGCTGTTGTTGCGGCTTTGATGCTGCTCCTGCTGCTGGTGTTCTTGCTGTTGTTGATGCTGCTGCTGGACTGATGAATGAGCTCATGTCAATACATCTAGACCACATTGCTTTGTATTTTCTGTGTTGGTGCGGATATGAGCTTGACCATGCAAATGGATGCCGGTTCCAGATTGCTGCAGTTGCTTTTTTCCCGGCCATAAGTGCCATCCTGAAGCTCAGGTCCCAGAGTAGGAAACTCCTGGACCCAGACGCCTCATGCACTATTCAGCATTCAGCCAGTTCAGCGGCACACCGACAAATTCAGATACTTCCTCTGATTCATACTAAAACTCATACACTGTAACGTGAGGTCACGAGGCGTGGCATTCCTGTTTGCACTTTAGCCAGAAGTGCTTGTTATCTGAAAATCACGATCCGACCCTGCATAGCAAAATGCATAGTCAGGGGTCTCCGGCGAAGCTTGGAGCGCTCTCTGAACAGTCTACCTAGCCGTGAGACATTCAAGATGCAAAAACTGAACGTATTCAGTAAACTGGAGCTTGACTGGCCTTTGAGGAAGCGCTTTCATGCCAACGCAGGTCCTAAGTCGAGAGCGGCAACAGTCGGAAGCCAAGATTTGTGCGGGTTTGCCATTTGAGTTTAGGGTACCGATTACCATTGTAGGTGTCCAACCTTTGTTGAGGTTCATGATGGCATAGTGAGGAACACAACGGGCCTTTGAGGTATTTGAGTGCTACGACCGCCTCATGTCGAGCAGTATCTTTTGGATTTAGTGTGCGCTTTTGTAAGGTGGGCCTGTGGAGTTTTTAGAAGGGGAAGGCTTTGCACGAAGGTACACACATCGTTGTGCGCATCACTTCTGATGGTCCTGATGCCAACGTAACATGGCGCTGAATGTCTTAAGCCATCTTCTACAAGGTCACAACAAACGTGAAGGATTATGGTAAAGCAATTACAAGCTTGGCGGAATGCAGGTGCCAATAACATGAGTTTTTGGTGGCTGGGAGACCCTTCATCACCAAAAGAAGAAGCTTGGAGTCTCATCTGGCTACTTGAGTTTCAGATCTTTTTGTTACCTTGATTTGACAGCGGGGACTCAAGCAAGGAAGGTGCGAGAATGAGACATAGAGGGGTTGGACATGCGTGACACCGATGCAAATGTGGAGCTTTCTCTCTCCGTGCAGCATGGAAGCTGTGCATTCGGCACGGTTCAGCAATCTGTCGATAGGCTTTAAGTGTGTTGAGTGTGCTTGTTAAGGAGTGTTCAACGCATGCATTAAGAAGTGGATATGTGCCAATTCCTTGGGCAAAACTGTTCTAGCAGTTTAGAGCTCATGAACTTCCCCACTGACAGCTTAACTACTTGCCAGCTCGGCTGAACGGATGTCCAAGATTTGCGTGCCTTTGATTTCTTTCAAGGTAGCATCTTTCAGGACAGCTAACATTGTCATCGTACTTGGGTAGCATTTGTGGCCCCAGTGTCGTTTTAGACTTCTGCTCGCTGCTTGCGTGACAATCATGCTGTCCCGCTTGGCGAGCCTGCTTGTAAGCTCCGTGGTGGTGGATTCCAGCCATCCAATGGCGCCAACATGTCACGGTTTCGGGGGCATTGGCGCCGGCTGTGCTGCCGCCCTTCCAGGATCAGGAGGAAAGAGGAGAGGAAGTGGCTTTGGCAGCACATCACTGGCAGTGAAGGTCGCGGTTCCTGGTTGTTTTCTCAAGCCTTGCTGGCTACAGGGAATAAGAGTGGGGGTGGATGAATCCAACGCTGTGGATAGTCCTGCAAAAGTTGGCGTATACTGGTCAAACGGAACTTTGGCTGCGATGTCGAAACTCGGAACCCTTTTGTCAAATTTGCCGTTGGTACGTGATTTTCCCGACAAAGAGTTCCGGATGTTCTGAATAGAGGTTCAAAGCGCAGTCCAGGAAAGTCCTTCGAACGCCAGCATCTTTGCAGGATCATGCTTGGTTCTTCTTCGAGTTGCTGGGGCACGATAAAGAATCCCAGCTCAAATTGTGGCGCCAAGCATGATTTGCTGACTCGCTGTGCTTGCTCATGCTCTTTGTGTGCTTGGCCAACTTCACGTAGTGCGCTTTTTCAGCCATGCAATACAAAATTCTCGGTTGTGCCAGCAATTAACAACTGAAAAGGAAGCACAAAAAGAGTTAAGGAATTGAAGACGCTTGCTGAAGAAGACCATATTTGGTTGGTCTTTAATGCCGAAGCTACAGTGAAGCTGACCTACGAAAACGCGGCGTCGGTGGAAGAGGCCTGTTTTCCGTAATACAGATGCGGTTCAGTGCTGCTACTGGTAATAGTAGTAGTAGTAGCAGTAGTAGTAGTAGTAGTAGTAGCAGTAGTAGTAATACTAATAATAGTACTAGTACAACTTTTGCTGTTTCTTCTAGTATTGCTACTATTACCACTACTACTACTACTACTACTACTACTACGACGACGACGACGACTACTACTACTACTACTACGACGGCTGCTAATACTAGTCATTATAGTATTAATAATGACAAGAGTAGTAGGGGCATCGCTTTGCTCAGGCCACGCGCTACGTGGCGGAGGACTTTGCAGAGGCCTTTGCCCCGGTACGGCATTGGGAGCTGGAGTCAGGACGACAGTGGGCAGGCCATTTCCGCAATCTGAGGGTGCAGTTCCTTGGATTCCTACGTGGGTTTTCAAAGCCGCTCAGAATCCTGAATTACCATTCGCAACCGGCATGGGATTCCGAGGTCATTGTAAAATAGGTTTGTGCGCACTCACCAAACTGCATGCTTTGGCTGCGCGCGGTTGATTTAAACTGCATCAGCTAGGGCTTACTCTTCAATGGTTGGATGTTGGTTTAGGGCCTTTCAGGTTCTCTGTGACAAAGTGTCATCATGGCACAAACGACCAAATTGCATCAGCATGCGTTGAGGCACCGGGTGCTTCCGGTTCCTTTGAGCCCGGCAAGCCTGGTTTTCCGCTCATTCTTGACCTACATACACGTCTTGAGACCCGAATTGAACCTTTTTTTTCCAGTGGCTGACGCAAGATAAGGCCTTGCAACGCACATCTAGCCACGCAAGTTACATTAACCCCCAGAAATTCTGCACACATGTAAGCCCGCCTTCGGAGGGGCGTGACTTCTCAAATCTTGTCCCATTCCACAGCGCCATGCCTTTCTTTGTCATGTTTCGTTGAAGACGGGTCGGTACTGCCTTACATTGGGCTCCAAGGTACAGATCGGGAATCGTCAGGTGCCTTCCAAGATCATGTCTAGCTGTAGTTTCCAAGCTTGGTCCGTGGCATTGCACACACCAAGATCACGTGGGCGTTGCTTTCTTGATGGCCCTGGCAGCATCAAGCAAGGCTGAGATTGCTTCGTGTCCCTCAGTAACAACTGGACATGCCGATAGTGTTTCCTATGTCATGCCTGGCCCCGAAATGCGTTTGAGATGCTTTTTGGACGTATCGATGCATGACAAAACCTCAAGACCACGCAGCAAGGCTGCAAGTGCCCACCACGCTAGGGACCTTCACCTGCATGTGCGAAGCTTTTGCAGTACGCCCTTCTGTTATTGATCCACCGAGCACGCCTTCGAACTGGCCACTTGGTCCCAGTTGGGTGTCATTCCTGATTCCCATCTCGGCTTGAAAGTGATGACCAACATCCCTTTCGGGCTGTTTAGGGGAGTCTCCTTCCTATTGATCTGTGGCATCCATCAGTCCCAGTTGGAAAAGAATTGCTAAGAGCCTCATCAACAAAAAGCTGAATTCAACCACGCCATCTGCACGACAGTCCAAGTCCCCAAACGCCAGCACATTTGTCAGCAAAATTCTCCTGAACAAAATTGAAGCGAGCCGTGTAGCCTTAAGGCCTTAACTCTCAGATGTGAAGAACGCAGCACCTGCGCCCATTTCCCTTACCCTGATATTACTTGCGCTTGCGGTCAGAATGTCCTATGAAGAGTATTTCACTGTGCTTGACGAAAACCATTGTCTGATTTATGCTTTGCTGCAAAACCTTAGCATACGCCACAAACAAGTCCTGCCCGTCAGCTTTCAGCATTTCATGCGCGGTTCAGGCTTGACCTGGGAGACGTTTCAGTTTTGGCCGGCACGTTGCCGCTGATCCTGGAAGCTCCGCATGGAGGCTGATAATCAGATGATCCAATTTCTTCTAACGAATGTTTATCATGCGTTTTCCTACCAGGGTTGCACTTCCCACGAAGAGTGTCTCCTTCGTGGGTCACGCAGAGGCCGCATCGTGGAGGGCTGGCCTGCGCGAGTCAGCGGAGTTGCCAACTCCGACCAAAACACGGATTTGTTCACAGAGGAGCTTAGAATCTTGAAGCCCTTTCCCTTAAGGGCCCCAAACGATTGCCTGCCTATGAAGTGATAAGGGCCCACTCCCTGCAGGAGCTCAGGAAGGACTTGGCACTTCGATGCGGACGCAGCCCAAGCGCTGTGATTTTCAGGGTAGCGAGAAGGGGTATCGACGCCAATCGGGCTACCGGCAATGGCAGCTCGACCCGGCAAGGGGAATCTTGCGCATCCCAGAGCAATGGTGAATGCTGCTGCCACTTAGCAATCCCAAGCGACACACAGGTCGCAATGGATCTCAACGATGTCTACCATTCCTTGCTGTCAGCGCAAGTGGCGCAGGGAAATGGAGCTTTGTTGGTTCCTATTCATGCAACAGGCACGGGGGTGTGAGGAGTCTGCTTGCCAGTTCACGTGGACATGCCGACGGATGCATTTGTCTTACTATGTCTTACTACTGCCACTGCTGCTCTATTCTTGATGCTGTTGCACAGCATACAGAGATCCCATCCTCCATAAGCTGCCGAATTGCATGTTCTTTTGTGCTGTGCTTTGTATGGAGCCTATCATGCCCCGTACACTTCTACAAAGAAAGAATTCTTTGTCTGTAAATACATACGGCATTCCAATCCTTTGGAATTGCGGCCGCAGCTACTTTGGAAGGCACGAAAATATGGTTTGGCTACAAGCTCACATGCTGTAGATGCCATGTGGTGTGACACGTGCTCCCCTCCTTGCTTGTTGAAGGTGCCGTCTTGGACTAGCTTTCAAAACTGCTGAGGCTTCTGTCCCAATCTTGTTGCTCGCAATCATGAACAATAAAGCTTTGGCTGTGCCGGTCCATGCGTGCTGCTGTCGTTGCTGAACTGCGAGTCACCATGCTGTTGGTGGTCTTGAATGTTGCTAATTGCTAACATTGCGGCAGATATTCCCATAAGGTGCTCACAGTCTGCTATTGTGGAGTGAAGGTAGGGATTGGTGCGCTTGCTGTCTAGAAGACGTGGCATGAATTTACCCAAACGTGCCTGCATGCCTGGCAGCCCTGAGGCAGGGACAGGATCGAGATTGGAATTCGGCTCTCAGCTTCAAAGCTAAACCAAGCGGCTGGACTCTCGCCTCCCTCTTTGTTGGAACACAATTCTGCCAGCTCCTTGAGAGCTCTGGCTGACGCTACAGAGGCAGTGTGGGGCTCTGCTAGCCTGGGAGCCTTCATCAAGGCAACCTGGTAATTCTTGAAACTGCACCCCTTTCATGGACTTTTTCTTTTGTGTGAAGATGCCATGATTCATTTGGGGATCGAAGAGCAGCCCAAGGCCAACCGGCCTTATATGGAGGTCATTCCATCACCGCAAGTGAGATGTCCTGATCCAACAATCTGCCCGACGTCCTCCCACAGCAGTCTTTTTATGGGCGGCCACAACTTGAAGATCCATGTGACAGAAAGCCAACCGGGAGTCCAGCTGGAATTGCCTCAAGTGATGAGAGGTTTTGGTTCTTCCCCTCCAGCTGTGGAGCCAGCAGCTGTGAGACAAGTCGGGGCTGCACTGGCTTCTTTTCTCAATGCGCATTACTCCGAGACCTGTCACGCAGATGTGAATTTTGGTTTGGCTTGCTTGCACGGGGTGCTCGTCTGCGGGACCTGCGTGTGCGATGAAGGTTACGGAGGTGTCGACTGCAGCGCCTGTGCCGAGGGTTACCTTCTCGTCAATGACCAGTGCACGCGCTTGGTCATGTTGAGTCCACCAAGCGGAGCGACACAGAAGTGCTTTGGGTGCACTTTAGGTACCTTTGCTTGATAGGAGTGTGAGCTTTAAAAGCATTACAAGGAGATGCTCCCAAAGCAACATCATTTTGCCATATTTTGCTTGGAAGAGAAGGTACCAAGGTATGGTTCTGCTTTTGCCACCACAAGCTCTGATAAGCCTTACCTGTATACACGAAAGTTCACTACCCAATTGTCGGACTGTGGTTCCGGCTGTCGGCCCCTAAACATCAGCCTGCGTGTTCGGTGTGACAGCGATCTGTGCCACAATGATTTGGACAGCGCCACGTACACAGTGGGAGTCGCCCTCTTTGACGCAACAGGGAAACGTCTCTGCAATGGGGCCACTTCACCGCGGGTTCCTCAAGCATTGATGGATTGGTGGCTCCACATTCCACTCCAATCCTGTCCCTTACTGTAGCTTGGCGCGTGACCTGAACCATTTGCTTTGCGTGCTGAACGCCTTGATTTTTGGAGAGGAAACTTCCCATGTTTGTTTGGTTATTGCGGCAATGAGGTGACGTGAACTCCCACCAAGGCATCTCATAATCTGGCCCTTCCCTATAGCCTAAGTGAAGAAAAACAAGCAGAGCGGACTTCCAAGAACAGGCAGAATGGACAGGCAGATCACAGCTGGGTATACCTCAGCATGTGGACTTCAAAATGGCTTAAGCTTCGATGGGAGCAGGAACCAGCTTCTAGCGTCCAGTTTGGAAGTTGATTTTCTTCTTGGTTTGTAACGTGCCCTCATGTCAGACCTGGATTTTGGCATGATACTTTGGTACGATAAACCAACATGAAGCTAGTGGCAGCCCTCTGCCGTAGGCGGAGCCGGAAAGGAGTCGAGGATTGCAATACAAAACTGAGCTGCATCTGGGCACCATACATGTGTTTCCTTGGGTGAGGAGCTGCGGATAGCAGCTTATGTTCAGGAAATCTGATTAAGGAGGCAATCGATCGCTTGATTAATTTGGTGTATGGATTTGGCATCAGTCAGCACGCATGGTTATCAAGGCGCTTGAAACTCAATTCGTAAAATTGCGAAAAATGCTGGTTATGCTAAGAATGTGGGTGGAGTTAGCACGATGGATTTAAAAACCAGCTCCTAGCCGTTGGCAGACCATCAAGAAGCTGCAGTTTCAAGAAGCTAGAATGTCAGAATTTGGGTCCGAATCTCAAGGACCAAGAAGAAGCTATCTGAATACCCCATAGCATGCGCTTGTCTTAGATCCGGATGCTTCAAATACCGTTCCGAGGAAGTTGATAAAGACAATAAAGGTGTAAAACAGCTTTGGCGCCCTGCTTGCAGGATTCATGATAAGTGTTGAGGCTTTAGCTTCTGTAAGAGCAAACGCTTCCGAACAAAGAAAAAGTCAGAGACCTTCAGCTCGTGCCAAACAACTGGAACATTGTGGCTTACCCATAACGATTCATTGGACCTAGCACTTCAGTATAGCAAACAATTATGGAAGGCTTCTCAGGCTGAACCATCAGGAAGGCTAGTTGCTTTTCAAGCTGCTTTGGCTGCAAAGCTTCAGGCCCGAACAGAATTTGCGAAAGAGCCTTGGCTTAGGAAGCTAGATGTCTTAGATTTCTAGTCTGTCAAGACTTGGCTCGAATCCAAACTCGTGATGAGAAAGATTCTTCATTAAGCGGGTCATTTCATGGGCAAATGGCAGCCTGCTTTCGTGAGGAACATTCCCCCTCGACTTAGCTCAACATCCGGACTCCATTCCTCACCAGCTTACATTAGGCCACTCTGCTTTTCTTGACCAATGCCTCCTTCAACCAATGCTGTAAACTTTCTTTTCATCTTTTCAGGGCTTGAAAATTTCTGTCTTGATGTTGAGCATGTAGATGAGGCTCGTTGCTTTTGTCTGCGGAGGCTTTGTCAAGAGTTCCAGGGCTGTACCTTGAGGTCGTACCCATAGCACGTCCCCAAATACGTCCGGAGTAGCCTTCTCTGAGCCCGAAATTCCTCAGGGGCTATGCGAAAAAAATCCCTAAACAAAGGGAAGTAGCCCTGAAAAAGCCAGGTATCAACAAGATCCAGGTGCGCAATCTTCGGAAACTCTCGTGGATGCATTGCCGCCTTCCCATCTTCCAAGCTGGAGAGATGTTCCTTGTGTAAGCCCGGATTGCGCCAACGAAGCAGGCTGTGATTGCATCAGTGGATGCACCTGCCGAAGCTGGACCCTGAGTGGAACACGAAATTCGGCGGCCAGTCAGCAAAGTTTTTCACCGCCTTGTGTTCGCACCTTACGGGAAAGACAACAATAGGGTGGCATGTCTTGTAAATTTTGCGGCATCAAAAAGAATAGCTTCTGTGAGTTTGCTCAGTTTTTTGAGAGAGGGATAAGTGTGGCTTTCTTTAGAGATTGTTTGAAGCTACCAGTTTGTTGTGATGAGTAGGTGCGAGTTGCCTGTGAGGTTCTTGTAAGAGGTTTGAGGTTCCATGTTAGTTTTGAGCGCCGCTCGCAGACATCCCTGGGCAGTTGTAAGAAGCACATTTGAAAAGCTCGTTCTGTCCTGGAAGAAGGACTTAATCCTCCCTCACCAAGTGCACACAGCTTAGGAAACTTTTATGGCTTGATGGCTACCCTGAGCATGAAGCCTAGCTGACCCTGGCCACCATGTGGCTAGGTCGGCATGCCTCACCGGCAACATTGTACAGAACTTAGGGCCTGTCGGTGGTTCCAGTCACGTAAACCATTCAAAGGGTTACAACACGACGGACCTTACATGCACCTCAAGTCCCTAAGTGCAGTGGGCTGATCAGATACGAGATCTGATTAGTCGAAAGGTCTGCAAAAAATCAGATACAAATTCTGATCGGCGGACAGTAAGAAACAAATTCGCATCTTAATACCACATGAGGATATTGCTCAGCGCAACTTTTCCCAAAGGGTTGAGGTCAGCTGAGTCCTTCTCCAAATGCTCAAGGCCGCGGAGATGTGGTTCAATTCCTGTGAGGAAAGCGTCATGCAAGTATGTTACAGATGGGTGGTTATCAAACCCAAAGCTTGATATTTTCTGAAGCAGGCGCAAGGAATGCGGCGCTACACTCTGCATTCAAAAGAGTAAGCTACAAAGTTTTCAGAACCGCCCACCTTTCAATGTTTCAAATCAGTTTTCAAACTGATGCCAGCAGGCCACGCTGATTTCAAGTTGGCGCATTGCTAGCAAAGATTGTGACCTCAGTATGTCCCTGCAAGCAGGAAAAGGCTTCTCGCGCAATAGCATGGAGTGCCTAGGCAAGACAACCCGACTGCCTACGGGTTGCTTGTCAGAACTGTAGTGGATGGTTGCATGGAGCCCGCGGTTGAAATTTTTGGAGTGTTGACCGCCTCCTAAATTGATTGGTGTGTCGGTAATGGGGGCTCTTAAATTGGGCTTAAGGTTTCAAAACCTATGAAAAAGCACGAGATTTAGCAAACCAGCGCAATCCGGCGCAATTGTTGTGTTTTGCACGCGTGCCAATGTGAGCATTTGTGCCCTCTTGTGTTGTTTTGCAAAAGGTATGCGTTGCCCCGATGTGGCACGAAACGGCACGATGTAGAAATGTAGCCTATTGTCTACAAACGCCCTTAGGGACCCATCAAAACATCCCCATTACAAACCCACGAGGAGCAGCGAGCTCTCAAGAAAAAGAAGATGTCAGCTTGCCAAAGAGGACTGCTTGTCCCAGTTTGTTTGACATTGTTCTGCTTCATGTAGGTCCATGGGTGAACCTGGCCTGTGGTGCACCCAATAGTGCATCTGACACATAACATGCATTGGCGCGCTACAGCCTTAAAGATTAATCAATCCTCAACCCCTCAAGCCGTGAACATCCATTTACCGTCAGCCCATGCAAGAGGTGAAATGGCTCCAAAGCCCCGGCCGCAACAATCCAAGCTGCAGGAGAGAGAGCCGACAATTCACGGCTGTGAAGAAGAGGCCAAGGATGTACATGTCAAAACGTAGAAGTGCTTTGGTAATCCATCACAAGCTTTGATAAGTCACCCCCATGTTGAAGGCGCTATCGCAACTAGTTCGTTATCATGTCCATAGAGCATGTGCCGAAATCTGATCAGCTTTCGTAGCCTTCTGCGCGTGAGATATCTAGCTCTTTTCCGCGGCCTTCGAGGAAGTTGACATTGAATTCCAACACAGGGTTACCTTTGGGAACGTGTTTCGGGATACCAGTTTGAAGGCACATCTCTGGATCATTGAAGATGATCACGTTTCTGTTTTGGGAGTCCTCCCTAGGTGTAGAAAATCTACCCGTCCGCGAGAGACCTTTTCGCCAACTCGCAGGGGGGCGACATCTGGTGGGGCGTGCATTGGAGCGCCCCTTGCACTTGCGCTTAAGGGGCGAAAGTTGCTGGGGTTCGAGTACCAAGTCACATGGAATCGATGTTCAACAGTACAACCGTCATACACCACCACCAGCACCACCACCACCACCACTACCACCAGCACCAGCACCACCACCACCACCAGCACCACCACCAGCACCACCACCAGCACCACCACCAGCACCACCACCAGCACCACCACTAGCACCACCACCAGCCCCACCAGCACCACCACCAGCACCACCAGCACCACTGCCACCACCGCCACCACCACCACCACCACCACCGGCAGCAGCATCATCACCACCACCGGCAGCACCATCATCATCATCATCATCAGCATCATCATCATGCACCATCAGTACCCTCCACCGCCGCCTCCACCACCACCATCATTATTATGCATCATCATGATCTCCTTGTCCTCTTCATCATCACCAGTATCATCGTTGTCGCCTTTTTTTTGCATCATCGCCATCGCCGTCATCCGCACAAGAAGCAGCCATGCATGCTAAGTTTGCTGACAGTCACGCAATGAGCTGCCATGTAGCCACGACGTCTCAGGGTATTTTGAGTTGGCTTCACCTTTCACGGTGTTTGTTCAAGGCTCCTTGCATCAAATGTAGCTATCCTTGCTAGCTTCCAGCCTGTGGTGGGAGTCATAGCACAAGACAGATCGGCTTAAGATCTCAGAAGCAAAGAGAGTCAAACCGCCACAAGCGCAAATTTCACGAAGCCACAACCTCTGTTCTGAACCAGAGGGCTGAACCAGCATCTCAAAATGCATTCCATTAAAACAATTTCACGGTGCAACAGAGGTGCAATGACTAAAGTACAGCTGCAAATGTACCTGCTACCAAAAAGGGTGCATAAATACATCTTTGCCAGTTAGAGCCTGAGTCATGGGCAGTACTGGTATGAGCCACCATAAACCTGCACTCAGCTTGTCCCAGTATATCAAGAGACTGCCGCAGCAAACGCCCTGCTCAGGCTTCCAGATGTCGCCCCCTCTTCGAGGCTCCGACAGCGGGGCGCCAAGCGCTTCCTGCTATGAAGGACCTGACAGTATGCAGCGTA